AATAAAAAGATGTATCAAGATTGTTTACATTTAGTTAAGTACCTCAACAAATGGGCTATAGTACAATACAAAATTACTTAATCCTAGATAAATGCCACGTCTAGACCACCAGCCCATCAGGTCAGTCCAGCCTATTTGCAACAACGGCTAGTACGCTATTAGCGCTGCCGCGCACACGCATCAACGGTTACAGTGTTGCGGTAGCCGCGTTAACATCCGGGAAACGTTGTTATATTGCACCCTTAATATATTCAGGGTTGTCTGCGTATACTTCACCCATAGGCTGCTCGCGTAAAAGTTTTGACAATATGCTTTAAATAATGAGATCTTGACATCTCAAGATTGTTTACATTTAGTTAAGAACCTCTAAACAAATGGACTATAACCATCATAACACGTAAGAAAAAATCTGTATTACTAACTTTACTATGGATCATGGTCTGAACTAAATAATTCTATTCTATTTTATACATAATGCACTTTATATTAATTGTGTAAAATGCAAACTAGACCCGATGCCGCAGTTGCGGAAATTTCCAAAAGTGTGAGAAACATCCGGAAGACGCGCGGTTTTTGGCTCGTGTCTACTACACATAGTCAAAGGTTTAACTTATAACCTCTTTTTGCGTCTGGATTTCGACAGAGTTAAGCTTTATGTGGTCTTAACTGTAATAACCTGTAATTTGACGACCGATTTGATGTGGTGCAGCGTCGCTATATGGGAAGATCTACACCTCGGGTTCGACTTCCAGTAGAATTAATTTAAGACAAGATTCCTTGGTATCACCTAGTTTGAAAGTAGGCTTGGGATCATGATTACTAAGTTATAATGTTAAACGACCATTTTCACGTTCGGTGTTCTCAGCCTAATTACCGTATCCATTTCGGTGTCCTCAGTCAATTACCCTAGCCGTTGTTTATTCTCGCTTAATATACCAAATGAACAACAATATGAACAACTTTAAGCTTAACTATCAATATGTCTAAATGTCATTGCAATAAGACAAGACAAAGTAGTTTTCGAGTTATAAGAAATAAATATTTTATGGAAACGGAAATTAGATCTAATTACCGTAGCCATGGATACGGTAATTAGTAAGTTCAAATGATAGTTAAGCTTAAAGTTGTTCATATTTCAGTGTTATTAGGTATATTAAGCAAGACAAAACAATGGCTACGGACGGTAATTAGGCTGATAACAGCGAATGTGAGAATGGCCGTAAAACACGAAGTTATTTAAATAGTACCATAATATAGAATGCAACAGTGTCCCACTAGACATATGTATATCATATACTGTACTCTAGTAGATAAGATGCAAGAGTTGGAACATAGTTGGACCATTTAATGCACACCTTTTAGATCCACCATATGGTTATATTCTGAATCTGTAATTGCTTACCGCCAACGGGCCGCACATGTAGTTCATAAGCAGAGTGGTGGCTTCCATGGTTGACTGCACCTCCCACTGCACGCCCTTGACCACCATCAGGTTGGCGTGGAGCTTGGGGCGGTTGCGAACCGTCACCTTGTAACATATAAACATTAAAGTTAGTAAAAAAGGGTCGTTATTTTTATTAAATTTTCTTTTTGTTGTCTCTTGCTGGTGTGCTGGATATGGGATGTACCGGCACAAATGGCGTCTCACACCAGCAGCGCCCGGCCCATACTCCAAGGGATGAGTGTCATTCCGTCCGGGTGTTTGCCATCAATTCGCGACATTCTGCTTGGCTCGATTATAGCTAATTTTAAAAAGGGGAAATTACGGGCACATGGGACTAGTCAACTATGTATCAGGGTGACGAGCGCAGTGGCAGTGCCTAAGATCTTTGCGATTCAAACCTCTGAGTGGCACTGCATTTAAAATTAAATAAAGAACAACAATAATCAACTAATAACATGAATAGATACATAAACATAACTAATATGGGAATGATATTTTGACGACCTCTGTGATCGAGCGGCTTTAACACCGTCATCTCTGAGGCCCCGGGTCCGATCCTCGGCCAGGTCAATGTAGAAAAGGTAACTTTTCTATGTCGTCTCGGGTCAGGAGGTCTACTTCCGTTCTCTATCCGACGTCCGTCCGAAACAATTACTACCAAATAAGTAATACCCAACCAAATCAAAAGATCATGACCAACGTGATCTGCTGCGCCTCGTAGTGTAAATAGGTCATTATTATTCTTATTAAGGTTATAACGGTAAACTCCGTAAACGGTTATTTTTCAATATGTGAAGCCACATCCTTTGAAATGCAAATTTGCTTTGAAACAATGACAAGGCGCTAATTTTAAAGAGTTTTTTTAAAGAGCTGTGGATTGAGGCCCTTCACATTCTGAAAGATTTAGCCATAAAACGAGTTTAGCAAAATATTGTTAGCTCTCACTTTATCTACAGTGTTATTTGAGATTGTAGCGAGTATGAAATATAAAGTTGAAATTGCATTTGTAGACTTGGTTTTATTTATTTTTTACGTTTTCACCTATTTATTTAAGTCGGCAAAGGATCTACTATACAGCCAGTTCATCGGTCGTTCGTTCGGTGGCGGTTTTTATTATTTAAATATTCAAGGATATTATCGTGTAACTATTAATATTTCACGATACAATACTCGAATGTCAAATAATATTGCACGTTAAAAAAATCAAATACTTAGCAATTAAAATTTCCACGAAAATTAGGTATTGAACACCGTTAAATGACATTTTCCAAAAATAAAGTTTTTTCGAATTTCATAACCTAGAAATTAATTTTGAGAGGAAAATGTTTTTTCTTTTAAAACTTAACCTAACCCACCCGAACCTAATTGTGTGTATTTGAGATAAACATCCAACATATCCTGAAAGAACAACGATTTCGTTATAATTCGGTTTTCGGTGTAATGAAAATTCGAACAAAAGTTATTTCGGAAAAAAAATCGAGATTGTGATAGGTTACCATTGAACACTAGTCCGAGAATGACCGTCATATCGTACCTTACCTATCGCATATAATAAAACTTCATGTGATCATACGACAACAGTACTTTCATTTTATGAAACTTGAAAGAATCAAAAATAATACGAAGTACTTGAATATTTTTTTTATGTTACTAAGTGACAGGACGAACAAGTCGTGTGCTTGATGGTAAGCGACACGCCTGTCCTTAGCACGTGCAGTGCCACTCAGAGCTTTAAGTCACAAAGATTTGAGGGACACTGTTACTGTACCCGTCACCGAAAAATATCCGGAAAACATATTTATTATTACATATATTATAGAACATATGCAACTAAAGCGACTACGAAATGCTAATAACGTAATACTACGGCCGCCGCGAACCAACTATGGTAAAAATAATATTACATTTCGAAGTGCACAAATATACAACACATTGCCTAACAATGTTAAAGAAGCCAAAACACTAAACACTTTTAAAAAGCTACTCAAAATTTATCTGATGAATGAACGTTAAGCAAAATTAATAAATAAAGTAAAAAGGAATAGATAAGAAGAAAATAATAAAATAAAACAAATCAAACTCCTGTAATATACTTATGTAGCTTGACACATCTAGTTATTGCCGATCTGTGTAGACTACGCGTGTGCGAACGTACAAAAACTCTTGCCCAGTACAATGTTGCGACGGTTGAGGTAAAATTACCCACCTCTTATAAAAATGTAAAATTTATTTATATGTGTTCGTCTTAGGTGGAATATTTAAACCATACCTATGTATTTGCCGCTTGTCGTACGGCGTAATAAATGTTGTTTTATTGTGAATGTAGCTATATTTAAGTTTCTCATTTAAGTGAATGTATAATTCTTTTTGAGAAATAAAATTCTTTAACCACATTATTCTGAAAAATATGATTTTTTCAAAATTTTTCCATGACCCAACACTAGGCACGAGGCTGGGTATGGGTTCAAAAAGTATGAAATTTTGGAAGGCCACTCTTAACTCTGGTCGTCGCCATGACGGTCCTATATGTACTAATTCCTATGCCCTATATTTTTCGGTATTACTAATTTCACAAGAAGGTTCGAGAATGCGTCCCCATCGTTTCCCAAAATACGTAAAATGGTTTTGTGGGCTTAAAGCCCCCATATATGGGGGTCGATCCGTGTACCCAAAAAAACAGTCACTGTCTTAACAAGTCAGTACAAACCTGAACGTTATACTGCTCCTGAATCTGCTGCACGTAAGGCGAGGTGACGTCAGGTAATGGCTGAGAAGGCGACGCTATTGGAAGCTCGAAGCAGAATACCAGAGGAGTTAGCGCCTGGAACAATATTATTGAGATTATCACAGTTCGTAGTTGGACTGTATCTTTTTAAAATTTTTTGAACGTCACAATGTTTAACCACCATGATATTAAATTAGTTTTTATGAAAGTACCCCACTAGTTTCTTATAATTATTATTACAAAGATCGAACACAGAAATAATTCCTTCGATCCAGCCGGATACGAACCGAGACGTTTCCAAGCAAACCGTGCCAGACGCTATGCCAACTAAGCCACGGAATGAACCAGAGGACATCACGAATTTTTCTATATGCTCGTTGTCGGATCTTTGTATTTGGCTTTCAACTACTGTATCTTTTTTTTAAAGCCCTGCACTAGGGAAACCGTGTATCGCGGGTGCCATGGACACACACACACGTATCCAGGGGAGCATGTTTTAGGTTTTAACAACTGTTTTAAAATATTTACGTCCAGTTTTAAAATTCAATTTTGGTTCTCATTAAATTTAAGTTTTAAAATTGAAGCAGCACGTAAATATTTTAAAATTATCGTGAAAAAGTAAAACATGCGCTGACAAAAATTCTGAAATGGCGCTTTCGCCCTTTCTATGAAACACCGACACGACATCGAAATGAAGCTATTGTTGTTATGTATTAACAGTATCTGTATGTATGTCAGTATTCTATTTGCATATTATGTTTTATATATTTATATATTTTATGCTATTTATGAAGACGGTTAGTTGCACCCCTTAACTGCTTCCGTGGCCGTACGGTTACCATACTGGACCGTCGCGCAGAGGTCCAAGGTTCGATTCCCGGGCCGGGAGAAATATTTGTATGGCCTATGTTTATTTATCTCTTAAGTTTGGGAGCAATTTGTGGTTATCGTACGTGTGTCCGTGGCACCCGCGATACAGGGTTTCCCTAGTGTAGCTATGAGTGTGTGCGTTGTTATCATTATTATATTATGCATATCCCAAATTTATATCCTACGGTTGGTTGGAACTAATTGCTACTTAGCAATAAAACCGCCTGGTGTAGATTAACTTATTATTTTTATACTTAAGTTACTGTTTTGTGTTGGCACTGTCGTTTTATTTACAATAAAGATAGATTCAAAAAAGAAGATTCTCATTCATTTTCATACATTTACTGCCTCCGTGGCAGAACGATTTTTTTCGGACAGGCTTAACGCGATTTCCAACGAGTGTTTGATAAGTAGGTAACTTACCCTAACTCGAGCTCTGGCGCGTTCCACCCTCTCCATATCGCCAGCGATGGAGACCTGGTTGCTCTTCTCCACAGTACTGGTGCGGTTGGAGTCCGGAAAGTGAATATGGCACCCCGTTTCTTCCATCACGCGTTTTATTGTTAGACCTCCCTGCAGCAGATAGTAATAATGGAGTTATGTTCAGGGTCAGAGCCCCAAGTATGTTATATTTCAAGAAACCATTGATCGTTGTAGTTCCATTGACATTCCACTGAAACTATTGTGATTATGACAATATTTGTTATTCTGCAAAACTCCAGTAGCAATGGCAATTCAGTTTCTACAGAGAGTCAGTGAAATGGCAGGAATTTTATTTTATTTTTATTTATTGGAAGACCAACGGCTATTATAGAAGTCCTCAACAATAGGCACACATTAAGAGCCAATGAATGAGCCTTAAATTATAATAGTTATACACATTGACTTACAAAAAAAATGTCCCAAGTCAACCTATTTAAACGTAGTGACATGTAAAGGAATATGAAAAAGCTAAAACGTTGAATTTAAATTGTAATGTCATCGCAGTACTGTCTAATTTTGCTTGCTTCGCTGTCAGTCGAACAAACGAAGACTAAAGCGTGAATGACGCTCTTTATACGATTTTAACGCCCTATAAGTTCGGACACTTTTTAGCGCGGACCCGACGTCCATATAATTGTAAGTCAATGGTTATACATTATAATCTTGCAAGGAGTACTGCAGTCACCTGTGGGATGGCTCAGCGAAGTATCAACTTGAGGCTCTTGATTCGATTGAGCGCAGAGCCAGACGACTTATTGGCGACGATAAGTTCGAATCTAAAGTTCATAGTTTAGCCCACAGGCGCAATGTTGCCCGTCTGTCGGTTTTTTACAGAATATATTTCGGTGAGCTCATCCCGCCCGCCCCCTTTTGCCATCGGACATCCAGACGTACGGCGGGATATCATCCTTACTTGGTCGATATTCCCTTCAGGCGTACTAAGCGCTTTTCATCATCTTTTATCATGCACACAGCCCAGGAATGGAATTCCCTGCCTGCGACTGAATAGGCATCTTCTAGGCAAGCTCGTTCCATCGTAGAAACTATCTTTGCTCCAGAGCTAGGTAGTGGTCAAGAGCAAGTCCATTTAATTAAAAAAATAAATACATAACTATTTAATATACTATGACAAAGTCGCAACACTAATAAAATAAATACCTACTTGCCAAAAAACAAATTACTAATAAGACGCTTTACTGATGCAACACTAGTACTCGCACGTAAGAGACATGCATTCCGCCTTAAATTCGAAGAGGCCGGAAGTACGCACAAAAGAGAGTTGAACCTAAGGGTCATTGTAGGGGGTCTAAGAGAAATCTTGGACACGAGTTCCGAGGAATCCACGGCACCAGAAGCATTTTTACGTAAAAATACAAGATCTGCAATTTGACGTCGCACCTCTAGTGACAAACGATGATAGGATGACATTTACTGATTTACTTAACTCTTATCTTGTTTAATCAGCAATTTAGTCTTCAAATTAAATTGAATGAGTGCATGTAGGTAGTTATATAATAAATAAGAAATGAAATACAACGCTACAAACACAACTTGTTGCAGTGTTGATCGCGTATAGAGAATTAGTCTTGATTCCTACACTAGGCTAAGCCTGTCTCGCAGGTAATTAATGTTTTCCTGTTACTTAGAAGTTAAGCTGAAATGGCCCTGACTCAACATAAATACAGTAGACCGTAAAAAGAATCGAGAAAATTCTCGCGCAGTTTCAGGAATTCCCACAGTTACCGTATCGTACATCTTTCTATGTTACTACTGGATATAAATTTCATTACGCCAAGTACAATTTAGTTAAAAATGTCATTTCGCAATGTAAATTGAGACAAAGAAGAGGCAATTGTTTTCCCACTAGACAATAAGTGTTAAACCGAAAATAAATTCCCCTAAACAATTTGGCTAATGCTAGTTACGACAATGAAGAGGGGGACGGTATCATGATTGACAGTTTGGTCATAATTTACGCGTCACCTTGAGACATGCTATAGTAGCAGTAGAGGTCCTTGCGAAAGAACCTCTACTGCTGTTCGTCCGGAGAAGTAATGCCATCTTACCTATTTCAGCCGCCAAGTAATAATGCGAGCACTACTGCGTTCCAGTTCGGAAGCGTAAGGTTTAATTTATATTGCTGCGGAACGAATGGAAGCTAATTTTTGAAACGATATTATACATTGCATAATGATCTTTATGGTCAAACGTGTAACGTACGTAACGGAATACTCGCGCATGTTCGAGAATGGTTGCGCATTCCGCGAAAGATTTTGGCTCGTATGTAGTTTGTACGCTACACAATTGACCATAAAGTACATTATGCAATGTATAATTTCGTTACAAAAATTCTCTTCCATTCCATTCCGCCGCAATATAAATTAAGGCTAAGGGTGCTGGTGAAATTACCCGCACATGGGACTTGTCAATTTATGTCTCAAGGTGCCGGGCGCATTGGAAGTGTCCTTCATAAGTTTGCGAGTTAAGGACATATCCACACACATCAGGGCCGTGTCCGGACACGGGCCCGAGCCCGGGCCATTACAGTTCTGAGTGACACCGTAGGAGCACTTGTTCGTCCCGTCGTAGCTAGATATGCTACGGAGAAACGACACGGGAAAGTAAAACGTGTCCTTTATCTTCTTTTGATCGTAATAAGTAACCCTATCCCTGGTAAAAAAGCCACGTGTGATCATTGCGTCAAAAGTGGTTTTATCACATGAAAGACATAAAAGTAACGCGAGCTACATGACACAAATTATGTATATCGTCGTGGATAGTGCTAATCGGCGTAGGTATGTAGCACATTGGTAGAAGGCGTGTATCTGCACTAAACCAAACGTTACAAGAGAATAATTGAACGTCATTACTTTGTTATTTCAATGGCTAAGACTTTCGATTTTGCACAGTAAGCATTAATTTATGTTGTTTACGGACTAATAACACTAGATTCCTGTAAATCGCGCTAATGTGGTTGACACGACAGTTACGCGTATCCCCGGCAATGTCGCACAGCACAGTCGGTCGGGGTAAGGGACTCAAGTTCAAGAACCGGCGAACAATACGCGCATGATTATTACTATTATTTAATTTAGTTTTAAGCTGTTGGTTTTTCTATTAGATAAATAAATAAGGTATCCACTAATTTCGTACGTACCTCTTTCCTGAAAAGTTCTCATTCTGCAGATTTTACCTTATTACACCTAAGGTACGAAATAATGTTTTTGTTTAAAGATATGGATTAGAGCTGTGGAGAGTACTAATTATATTTAAAATCTAACTCATCAAGATGGAAAGCAATGCTGCGCGTGCGCAAATTCAGCCTTTTACCTTGTTACATTGGTCACCAACCTTGAGGATCGTGGTTTCCGGTTGCGAAAAAGGCCACCTGTACTGGTGAAAATATATTGAATTCAAATGGCTTTAATATCGTTTGTAAAAATAAATAAATTCGGAAATAAAGCCAGTGTGTCTGCCGCTCGACCCGCTCAATACAACCGATTCAGTACGTGAAAAATTTATCGATTCTAAATAACGGACTTTCGTGCTGTTTTATTGCGCTAGAGTCAGTTATACTATTCCTAGATTATAGTCATCGCACCTACATGCTAGTATTTTTATTGGCGTGCTAAGTAAATTGTGAACACTTTAACTAGAAAATAAGTACAGGACAAAGAGCACGTAAAGTTGACATTTAAGATTTAAATTCAACTTACTGCGATAAGAACATAGGTACCAGTAGGTAAGCACAAAAATAAATAACAGTAATATCTTTGTATACGAATATCGAACACTTAGAAAATTTCTTCGACCCAGTGGGACTTGAACCCACGACCGTGCTGCACCGTAAAAAAACTTCTCACTATATGTCACTAACGGCGACGAATGCCGAAAGCCTGTACACAGATCTGTAACAAAAAACAGGAGATTTTCGACAACTCGGTAACTTGAATTGTGGCTCAGTTGGTAAGACCAATGACACGGTACAGCATGCAGCATGGTCGCGGGTGCAAGTCCCACCGGGTCGAAGAAATTTTCTGTGTTCGATCTCTGCATTAATACTCATAACAAAAGTAATGGAGTTATTTCACAAGAAATCTCAATAATTCTAAAATCTTTTATCGAGTTCTTGGATTAGACAATATCACACACGTTGCTCTGATCCCAAAGTAAATAGCTAAAGCACTTGTCGTATTGAAATCAGAAACAACAATGGTACCACAAACACCCAGACCCGAGACAATAGGTATACAAAAGTTACTTTTTCTACACTGACCCGGCCGGGGATCGAACCCGGGACCTTAGAGACGGCGACATCATGAAAACCGGAGTGCAAGCCACTCGACCACGGAGGTCGTCAACTGGATGAAATGAAATAATTTTTTAGGATGTAAATCGCGTGTAATATCTAACTGAGTCACTCATGACCAATTAGAATTGTAGAGAGTTCAAAAAGTTGGTTGTTTAAAAAACAAAATAAATTCATTTATTAATACCTAAGAACTACGTGAAGACTACGTGTTAGATAAAGATGTATGGAAAGACGACATGGCTCCAGAATCCACACAAATTTGATTCAAAGTGTATTCCATAGCATTTAAGTTTATTTGAAAAGAGCAATCCCTAGAGTTTCTTACTCGTTCTTCTCAGGGAGGTCAGCGTTGTGAACGAGCAGTAGCTTAAATGTGACGTTTTCAAGCATTTTTCAAGTGTAAATTTATTTTACCTATGGAATAAATAATCTTTGACTTTGACTTTGACTTTGAACTCGATAGATTCAATTCCACTAATATACATTATTTAGTTTGATTAAATGATAATTCCATAGCGCATATAACATCCGTTGCTTTGACTAAAGGTTGCATTTAGATTAATTGAGTAATGCGAAAGACAAACAGATTCTGTCTTTCAGATTCAGTTACTATTCTAAACTATTCTACTAATTGTTCGTCACAGTAAAAACTTTAAGTCACCATTTCTGCTTATAATCTGACAAACTTTTTACAATTCTGTCGTTTCATTCACTATTTGTACTAATATTTCTTAAACTCTTGAACTCGTGTTGTCAATTTAAACATTGTTTCTATCGATTATTTGTCAAATTATGACAGCATACTACTATAAATATTATGTTTACCTCTCCCTCAGTTGTTACTTTAAATTCGCAAGACCCGTAATGGGTGTTACTGTTTTTTTAATAACCCTAAACTTTTTAACGTAAAACATAGTTAAATTTACTGACTGTAATCTTCGAATCAAGTTATAGAAAACAATAAACTAACACAAATTGTCTACCTTTTTTTTATAACGTCAAGTGATGGGACGAACAAGTCGTGCGCCTGATGGTAAGTTACACGCGTGTGCATAACAGTTGCAGTGCCACTCAGAGCTTTAAATAGGCACTGCCACTGCGCCTGTGACCCTGAGATATAAGTTGACAAGTCCCATGTGCCTGTAATTTCACCAGCACCCTTGCCATTCAAAACCGAAACACAGTAATGCTGACATTACTGCTTGGCGACAGAAATAGGACCCTGATGATACCCTGGAGGAACACTTTCACAAGGAACTCTAGTACAAGTAAATAAAACCTAAGTATAAGATACATATTAGATTGAAAATTTGTAAAATAAACAAAGATAAAGAAGGTATTACATTAAAGACGTACGGGCACGTATAACTGTTATTTCATATCATCTCTAGAGTTGTTTCGTCAGTACTACCGAGAAGAGTTGACCAGTGAAACGAGGACGATTTCAAAAAGGTGCAAAGGGAAAAGAAGTACACCAGCTGTAAGGAGTGACCCCGCCCTGACAGGCCCTAATCATTTACGGCATCCAGCGATACCGACGTCGACGTTGTTATACGTGACCTGAGGGTCGAACATTTGGGGTCCCGCCACAATGTGAATTGTAATTCATTTGTGGTGAGAGTACCAACTCAACATCTGTCGACCTTCATTAAGGATGAGTTTTGGCCGAAGGGCGTACCGACGTTTCCGAGGCCGGCTACCGGACACCCGCGGTGCGTCACACGTCACAGACAATACGTGTAAATAATAATAAGTCATTAGTATTTTATTATATTATCATGTATGTTAGTCTATAAGGTATGTATTAATGGGTCTTTGTAACCTGAATATAAATAAAAAAATAAATAACAACAATATAGTATTGATGACAAGTTAACGTGTCCAGTCGAAGTCTCTGCCTACTCCATTGCGAACCAGACGAAATTATACATGAATGTACATACAATACCAGGTCGACACAGGGTTTCCCTAGTGCGGGGCTTTGCCACTACCACAATATTCAAATGATACCTACACACTGGCAATACACAAACAAGAAATTAACAACTGTAATAAGAAATAATCAAGTCATAGCCTTAAAGCACACCCCGGACACTCCATACAACGGTCGAAAATTATTTACCTACTACTACTATATACAGCCAGGCGCTATCTGCACACGCGCAAATGTGTGCGTGAAGTGGCAGGGTTACCCATCACTTTCTCGCACTATTACGTTACGTGGTCAGAGCGGCAACTTAGCGAAAATTCTGACGCGATCTGTTATTTATGATTCTATTAATAGAATCCTAATAATTATACTTGTCTATTAGGTATTTATATCGATATACTAGTACATTTTTCATTAATTCGCTAAGTAGAGTAATATTGAAGATTTATTTCAAAAATAATTAAAAGCACTTAAAATGTTATATTCCGGACATGTACTTTTTAGTAAGGTAACCAAGGTATTAAAAATTAGATATGTTCACTACCTACGTAATATTTATCGGCAATACAAATAGAAAATTCGCGAAGTCATGGCGTCTCATTATATTGATATAATAAATCTGTATTTTTTATACATACATGTATTATATTACTCTGCAGTAAATAAAAGAAGAAAATAATAACTGAACGAGTCTCAGATATAAGTTTTTTTATTTACTTCGTTTCATCTTTCGGAAAATGATGATAAACAGCCGTACACAGCACAATTCACGACCATTATAAATAGTAACGTAAAATGATGTTTTATATTAACGCAGAAGTTTCGTAAAACTATATTCAAATATCAAAGCCGTCTTTGCGCGAAAACGACTCGCCGGCAGCCTTGTTGCCGTTCAGTCAATGTGACCGGCAATGTGGTGCGGTATCTAAAATCTAGGGAGGGGCGGAGAGTGTCCGTTCTCTATTGTTTATTCTCTGCTAAACGTGTGCGTGCGGCGCTGTTACGGAATCCATCATCCACTAAGCTTGGTGTCGTCTCAGTGCTACGACACTGATTTTCAGTGGATCCAGTAACGACGACACAGAGATCACACATCGAGTTTTATAAATAAGACGATCGGCTGATTTCGGCTTTGTAGAGTGTCGTCTCTGTCATTGACACCTGTGTGACATATTGACGCAAATAAGGCTACCGTGTGACGACGTAGGTACAAATCCGAAGGTAGCCGATTATGGCCGATAGTATTTTTCTAAAGCTCGACACACACTCGATATATTTAGAGGAATAATAGTAACGTTTATATTGAAATATATAAGAATTAGACATAAAGTAAACTGACATTCTTAAAAAATGACCTTTATAAAAAATTTAAAAAAATTAACTAAAATGCACTTTTTCTAGATTTTGTTTTTAGAAAAATAAATAAAATAAAATGGGTAACAGTTTCACATATAGTAATCAAACCTTAATTAGAGGAGAAAACTTTTTAACCGACTTCAAAAAAGGATTCCTCCTTCTCAATTCGACTGTATTTTTTGTGTGTATGTTTTTGATGATTATTTTTTATTGGAAAGCGGGTTTTAAGAAAATATTCCACTTCTAAGGGTGGCACAAACGGGGGGGATGAATCCTGTTTCACGTACTTTCCGGTAACCGATTTCAATAAAACTTGGCAAAGAGATGGAACTCCACTTGGAACTTCTGAGGTCGGTTTTTTTTAATAAAAAAGTTATTTATACTAAAGATTACAAGAACGCAAAATTAACTTGGAACCACTCGACAAACCTACTTAGTAGGAAATTGAAACAAAGGAATGAAAAAAATTACATTCGTCTTTTTTTATTTTCAAATTAAATTTTAAATAAGAAAATAAAATGACCGACCACACTTGGAAAAAAGACTGCGTTATTTTGAGGATTTTCCTAATGTTCCATTAAATATGCTAGTGTGTGTATTTATTGGTATTGTACCTATTTATATGTATATGAATACGTATGCATGTAGATTTTGTTCTCACCTTCCCGATGATATGCGAATGGTCGGTGTAACTGACATCGATCTTCATTGTAACCCGGTTACTCTGCAAACAATTATCGTACTTACAATCATATTGTCTCTAGACATATTTAGAAGTTCACAGATTTGCAATTTGTCAAAATATTTATAGTACAGACTTGGCTAAAATAACGTAGGTAACACATATATCTAAATATGACGAGGCAAGACTCGTACAAAATGCAATGATAGCGTCGTCGGCGCCACTGAGTCTATAATCATTAATGGGGCAAATTTTATTACAATTTTGAAGTATTTATGATTTAGCATAGTAGTTCTATTACATGCTACTTATGTTAAATATAAGCCATGATTATGTCGATTGTAGAATGTGTAGAAAAAATAAATCAATTTAAAAACTAGTGAACGAAATCTAAATAAAATCATACCCTTGTATCCAGTAACTGCATAATTTTCTCTCTCGCAAGTTTCACATCGTCAGCGCGGCCAGCAACCCTCACGTGAGGATCTAAACCAACATATTTTCATCACACAAGGAAATTTTAAAACAATGAACCGACTAAAATTCAAACTCACCAGATACATTCAAAAGATCGCTAAATTTATTGCACCGAATCTTACGAATAACATCATACACTTGCATTTCTTTACTATTTTCCGTAAACACCATTGTAACTTCATTAAATAAACATAAAATAAGAAATTGATTACAATAAATAAGTTCACTAAACGACGCGCACTTCAATAATGCCAAAAATTACGAAATTAAAATACAAAATCGACTAGGCGCCAGACAAACTGGCGCCATACGCGCGCTATCCCGCCAAAACGTTAACCCCGTTCAATAATGTACCGTTTATTTTCAAAATTTTGAAAATTTTGGCGTTTGTAATTGCGCTTGTTTTCCGGAGAATGTCCACTATACACATTGTTTGTGATGAAAGGTCTAACTTAACTTAAGGTTTAACTTACCTTTTTTTGATCGAGCACCAACTTTAAGGCGAATGGGCCAATTTACTAAAGTGTTTGTTTCGGTCATCACCTAAAAAAATTAAACATAAAGTAAAATAAATTGTATTACAAATTATTTTTACTATGGCCTGAACTGTTGCAATGGTGAGACGATTTTATGAATTACTGAATATAATTACTTAATTAATGAAAACTTACCCGATGAAAGAAAGCTTGGGCTGTTTGAGATTCTTCCAAATTATCTGAAAAGATAGACATTGATAATGCATTTTAGTGACAGTAACAATTTTATTGGTTTGCATAATATACTATTTTGTTTACCAGCCAGCATAGTTTCCAAACGGCGTCTGTCAACACGAAATCTTTCTTGGTAAACGTCTTCGGCGCTGTTTAGCCCAAGTATCACAGCTAATTTCTGTAGGTCTTCAGCTGACGTCACAGAGTTACTTGTTCCACTTTCAGAAGCCTGGGAGACGAATATAGACCAATGAACAAAATAAAAATTCTGAGCTGCATAGCAAATGAAAAGCAATTATTTTTATCAGATTCATTAGCCATATCGATGTTTTAAATTTCTGGATATCGTTCTAGAAGGTTATTCCACATCGTCAAAATGGCGGACAACAAAATGTCCTAACTGTAAACGTGTGGTTTGAAGTACGTGTTTTAAGAGAAATTTATACATAAATAATGAAAGCAATACTTACCTCGCTTACTGTGTCTTTGTCAGAATTATTTTTAAATTCAGACAAATGCGTTTTTACCGTTAAAAAGTTACTTGAGGCCATTTTAATGTACTTTTTATCAGAGTCTTAATTACTGTCAAAATATCGCTTCAATTAATATCAAATATACAAATAAAACTGATCAAAATACATAATAACAGCAACTCTACTAAAATAGTTTTGAACTAGAATTAAAGCAACTTTACGTAATGCTTAACCGGGTCTGACTGACAGATTTTTTGAAAATGATGCCGAGTCTGTAATTTTCAAAAAGAGGGTAGTTATTAATTTTCCGAATTAGAATTTAATTTGGCAAGTGTGATGTGAAAGATTAAATCTACCTACAATAGTGTCGATGTAGTTGCGTTCAAAATTTGAGTTGCGTTCGATCTGGTTGTCCCGTTGAACATTCATAATACACAATGAAAATGAAAATTTTATTGTTTTTAAACTTTGATTCAACGGCTTAACAGATTAACTTTTTTAATGATTTTGTCACTAAAAAAAAGAACACCTATGAACGTGCATTAGAGCGCTAAAAGTGGAGGCCCGTCCACAGACAACCAATCATAATGCGTCCCGCCAATATGAATGTTTCCGCCGAGACAGTCACGGCGTCGTCGATCAGCTATTTTTCCGATGAAAATTATTAACAAGCGCTAATTAATAATTTAGTTGTAATAAAAAGAAACAGAACATGAAATATTTGCAAATAGACATCTATCACCGCAGGACGTCAAAAGTGTTTTACTTTAATAATAAATTAAATAGATCCAAGAATTTAGTTCATGTAGGTTCTAATATACGCAGCGTACGCTGCAGTTTGTATTGAAAATTACTATTTTATGAACTCTCACTTTTCGTGTTATTATATATAGTGTAAAAATATACGCAGTGTAGGTACGTTGTCAAATTTTGTAATAAATTTTAATGAATGAAGCTCTAACCTTACAAATCGAAACGTTTATTCCATTGAAAAGTATTTTGGTGAATCTCCGTGTGAGGTCGCGTCAGTCGGGTTTCTGCGCTTGCCGGTGTTGGGTGTGCGTTCGTCTCGGCTCCGCAATTTTCGTATTTAGAGCTTTTAATTATAATATAAATTTAGCGATTTTATTTACTACAAATAACGTAGTAGGTATATGTTAAGTTGTACAAGAAGCTACTGTGAGCTTCAATAAGTGTGAATATTACGTATAAGAGTGAATTTAACGAATACTTTTAATTTTACTTGTGTGTAAAATAAGACGGTAAGTGGCATGTTATTTATTTATGTTTTCTTTACTCCGTTCCTTAGTTCAAAAATTATAAACGGTTAAGATTAGTCATTACCGCCGGTGTAAAAAAATAATTCTAGAATGAACAGCTGTTCTTTTGCTGGCTACAAGCAAGGCGCGGCGGCGTAATGTTACAAAATATACGCGTTGTACTTACGTTTTCATTTTACGAAATCGAGTGTTTACAATGACTTTGTAAGTGGACAAGTAATAAAGATTAAATATTAATAACCTTAAACAAGACCTTCGGAAAATACGGAGCATTTATTTGTGAAATCGCCGGTCGTTGAACGATTGTATTGTTACATTGCATCTCCCTCTAGTTGACAGTTCAATGAACGGCGGCATACAAAAGTGATCAATTGGCAACTTTTGTTTTTATCCTTTCCCTGCGTATTATGTCCCTGTACCCATGAAAATTACTCGTAACATGATTTTGTTTTAGACGCACATTAGATCATAACCCTTACTGTTTCACATGTGCTTTCCAATAGCATTGAAATAATATTCAGGTAAACTCAGTGACTGTAATAAATATATGTATATACTTACAATTGAATTCACGTATTTTATTTTGGTATAGTAACAAATGATACGGCGATTATGTCGACTCACACTTAGGGAACTGCATTTATTGCAGCAACTTATAATTTGCATCGCATTAGCGTTTGTTCTGCCACAGACGTGTGTTTCATACTAACTGCCTTAGACACTTTGTTTTTTAAAAAAAACACATGACAGTTACTGTTTCTTTTCATCCATTCACCGTCAGGTATTGATTTTCGTTTATTGTTGTGCACCCTCCCGCACCATGCCGAAACCAAAGGTGCCGAAAACCATGTTCAGGACTATATTCGGATTTCGGACCTACGCTACCTTACTCTAGCTGGAAATCGATTTTTTTTTTTATAAATTGGGGCAGGTATTTTAGTAATTTGCATAAGATAGAAAAATAACAAATTACTTATTTCTCCAAGTATATAAGTCAACTTTCCAACTGTAACTTACTTCTGTAACATAAAGAATTAATTTCTGTATTATTACATGTCAAGTTGCAATACAAACGCCTCCTAGACACGGTGCCGCAGGGCGCGACCCTATAGGTACAAAATTACCCACCTTTGAATCTTCTATTTAAAGTTAGATTTTGTTCTATATTGAACGCATTATTTAGTTTATTTAATGATATGTAAATTGTGATTGTATTTTCCTTGTAAATAAACCCATATTGTGTACGCAATAAAGTTTTACATGGATCGTGTCTGCATAATTATCAAGTACCCACTTAATTTTGCAAAATAGTAACTAAATATTTTTTATTATTTTACGATATACGTGGTTATCTCGCATTGAGCAACATCCTTAAGATATCTCACTGTTAATAGAATAGTGTATTAACTCAAAAAATGGATTTTCTCAATATCGATGAAAAACGAATTTCTCACTACCCGCAAAAAATCATCAAAATTGATGTATGTTATACTTTATTATAGACACTTAGACAATTTCTCAAATATATTTAAAAATAAAATGGAAAAAATAATTTAATATTTTTGTTCCTAGGTTTTTGCGATTGTTACACATAGGAAATGAAACTATTTTTCCGGATTTAAATCGCATATATTTGTTTTTTCAAACAAACCAACGTTTCGGGCCCTTTACAGGTCCTATGGTCACGGTTGACTGTCACAGGTCGCAGTCACAATAGTTTCATTTCTAATTAATATTTTTGAATAAGGATTATTTTGGCCAGAACTAGTACACATAAAGTGTTCCTTTTGCCTCATCTTGAGTTAAGTGATTATCTTTTGATTATTTCTTACAATATTTTGAGTTACAACACTATTGTAATAGCAGTGCGATATTGTAGGTAAAGGTGAAGACATGCCACGTTTCTTGTGGTCCGACTATCGATAAAAGGACGGTAGTAATCGATACACCGTAGGAAGTAATCGTTCGCTCTGATAAAATAGCTTATTCCGGTATGTTTTTCAACTAAACCGATGACAATACATCAGTTCATCATAAAAGACCTGTTAGTTTGTATATAGTTTACAATTGACTATTGTATACGCTTTTGTATTCATGTTCTCCGGTTTTGTGACAGACCCCCACGAGGTCCTCTCGAGTTTTTAAAGTCATATGCAAATTATTTATTTTTCCTTTAAAATGCGACTTTACCTTGAATGTTCCTCCTCACTAATGCAAAACTAGCGATAACATCTAGTTAAATTGCGTTAATTATTAATACAAACACAAAGAAAAATTCATTCGATCAGGACGCGACGACAGGCAGGACGCAAACCAGCGCCTTCACCGTACCGTGGCAACTTGTGTTCGATCTTTGTGTTAATAATTATAACACAATGACTACAGTCATTTCACAAAAAAATTATCGGCTCCGAATACCTACTTACAGCCTTTTGGAGTCGAAGCCCTTGGTTCGTGGGGTCCCAGTGCCAAATTTTATCTAAAAAATTTATAGACTGTCTGGGAAACCCAAGGTCCAGCAGCTACTTTGCCCAACGCATTAGCATAGTCATACAAAGGGGGAACGCTGCCAGAATCTTGGACACCTTGCCGCGGGGGCCCAATTTTATTCATATAAGTTAAAAATCCTAGTTTTACTTTCTAGTATTTAATTAAAATTAAAAATGTATTGACCTGTACAGAAATAAAATGACTGAGTTAAAAAAAAAATAGATATAATGGTAGTAGAACATCGTGATATTCAGTAAACCTAATATCTTAATACTTTCTGTCACTAGAAGTTCTCTAAAATCTCTGTAGTGTTACTATAGACGGACTGAAACTATCACGAGGCGTGTTTATATGTTAAAATGCGAATCGATGAGAATCGTTTGACGTATGACTTGCCCTTGGACACACTCTGAAAATAGATTCTATATTGCTTTTATACTACTTTCGTATTCATTTACAAGTTTTCGGCAATTTGTTAGAGACAGAAAAAAAATCAACTAGTATTTGTAATGCTAAGTAAATGTCAGAGAACTTGGCGTTTTTCCTTAATCACATCCTTTATTATCTTAAATGATTCAATAAAAAAAGCTAATGGGTTTAATTGTCTAAGATGTGTCATAATTCTCCACGGGCGATCAAACGGTGCACCAATAGTGCAGTCGTTTTCTTTTTCTAGTCAAACAATAATTTGAAATCTAATTAGAGTCCAGAATTTTATAAGAATAAAGTTACATTATTGAACTGTGCTCAAAGCATGTGAGAAACTACGGTACATCCATTTTATAGTGACAATAAAAATAAAAAATAGATTTTCGCTCCAAAAAAATGAGGTCGGCCATGATAAAAAAAATGAAGTGATAATAATTATGGTACACATCGGATTTTGATGTAACATTTTTTTCTTTTTTGGGCTTTTCGCGTTGAAGCCAATGACAAGATATTAGTTGTAAGAATTAAAGTGTTATTCGCCTAATTTTGAAGTTTTCTTTAATCTCTACTGTATTGTAACATTATTCACGAATATCGATAATAAAAACATGATTGATTCTTTTTTTTTCAATCACCTGACCGTGAAATGAGATCCGTTACTGACGCCAAACATGTTAACGGTGAATTTTAATAGGTATTCGCCTCAAACAATAAATTAGTGACTTACTTAAACTAAGTAATAAAATTAAAAGCATTCTTTGAACCAGTGCTACAAGCCCAACGACTCCAAACGCATTAATAAAAATCATAATTAATCTTTATTAAGTACAGAAGTTGAATATTATCATATTATAGAATCAAGCTTATAAATCCCATGTCCAGTTACAAAAATAGTCAAACCTTTTACTACCTGCAGAGACAATCAGTATGTGGTAGTTCTATACTAGCAAAGGCATACCTCTGAGTCACTAGACGTTTCTCAGGCATATTGCATCGTAATTCGTGACTGTATGAAAGAAATTCACAAATTGCTTCTTAAAAATTCTTCTGCTTTCTCCCGCCCTGCGAAAAGGTTTATTCATAAAATTGGCCAAATTAGAATGTAAAGTGATTTCGATTGTTCTTTTTTGTTGGACAGGGTTTGCTTTAGCTAGTAGTGACATTCAAATTTAAAGAAAATGTTGGGTGAAAAAAAAAAGAAAAACCTGGGTGGCAAATTAGGGAATCAATTCGGTTTATTGGATTGCACCCATTTTCCGTTAACCCATTTCAATATAACTTGGCAAATGAATGTCATTCCACACACACTTTGGGGGTCTTGGTTTTTTTATAAAAAAGTTATAGCTATGTAGAAATAATTGCATAAAACATGGAAGAGAAATAGACTAATTGAAAATTTTAAGAAATAACTTTTTTTTTTATTAAAAAAACCGACCTCGTAAGTTCGTGGAATTATTTGCCAAGTTTTACTTCGGTTACCGGAAAGTGCGCGAATCCGGATTCATCCCTTAGTTTGCCAACTTTTTTAAAAAAAAAATTTAAATTGGACCAATACTGAGGTACCCTCCTTCCAACAAAAAAATAATCATCAAAATCGGTTCATAAATGCCGGAGTAAATGCGTAACATACACACAAAAAAAATGCAATCCAATTGAGAACCTCGACCTTTTTTGAAGTCGGTTAAAAAGAAGTATGTATTTCTGTATTCGAAAACAAAGAAAAAAATCCTAGTGAATCCCTTTAAGGTTTTCAAGTGTCCCCCTTGTAATTCCAGTCACAATCAATGCGGCCTTGAAATACGTATACTGTGAGTTTAACAGTAAATGCATGAGTCATGTCATGATATGAGAGTTAAGACCATTGCAGAAGTGTATTGTGCATAGTACTGGCATTAAGATAAGAACTACAACAAAATACAATGTCATGATAAGAGCTTTCATATATTCATTACATAGTGTCTTTTGTAACTGTTCGGACGTGTTTATCTTCTTGATTACAAATTATTCAACTCAGAGCTATTTTATAAAGAATGGATAACGGTTTTGAAATTGAAGGTACTTACGTAATCATAACATTGTTTTAGTTTGAAATTTAAAACTCTATTCTACCTAAATCGTTCTATTTATTTCTTAACTATTTGCATGAAAATCATTTAAAAAACGGAACGCAATTAGATATAGAAATATAATAAATGTTACTTACTATAGCTGTAACAAATTTTTTATTAGTCAAGCGGGTATTTTTTTTTAAGAATGTTTTTCATTTACATAGTAGCCAAGCCACGCAAAAAATACCGTCTAGTACGCCTGCGCAACATTTCGCGGCCAATGATTAATGTTTTGTTAAATGGTCATCGAATGTGTGCGAAATTGTCAAAGATCTCTATTCATTCACTGTCACCTCGTATTCTGTATGACCAAAATACATATTTGTCGTTAGTTATGAGTAGATATTAACATTACAGTGTCAAACCAGTCTAATGAGTAGGCCAAATAAATTGTCAAATCATACACCCAACTAAGCTTTGAGGTTAGGTTAGGTTATGGAGACATTTTTAGCAACAAGTTCTGAATAGAAATCGTTGACGTTCCACTTTTTGTGTCAAAACAATCATAACATGAAATACTACTTCGAAATTACTTTGTCTTTTTAATTTTAATAGCCGTAGAGCTCCTTGTTACTCCAGGCATATGGAACTTGTCAATTTCTGTATCAGGTTGACGGGCGCAGAGGCGGTGCCCTTCAGACATTTGCGATTCAAATCTCTGAATGACACTGTAATTGCTCTGGACAGGCGTGTCACTTACGATCAGGGGCACGACTGGTTCGTCCCGTCACTTGCTATCATAAAAAATAATTTGCTGTTTGTTTGAGTAATTCAGTTTTGTTTGTAGCAATATTATGCTATGATTTTATTTAAAGCGGAATTCTATTTCTGATGTATTGCTATATAATGATAATTAATTGTTTATTGAATTGATATTCAATTATTTTTTACTCCATTTTGTTATTATTATTAATACAAAGATCGAACACTCAGACAAAATTCCTTCGATCCGGCCGTATTCGAACCGACGTCTTCTAGCATATCGTGCCAGACGCTATACTAACTAAACCTCGGAACGAATCAGCGGACCTCACGAATTTTTCTATATGTTTGTTGTTATGTCTTTATATTTGGTTTTTTCAACGACTTTTTAGCCGTAGCGCCATCTATGAGAAATCTTATGGATTTCGTCACCCAGTAAGATACTTTTACAGCTACCAGCCCTGGCTAGAGATGTCTAATGATAATTAATTATAATAATGATAATTAATTATTAATTTAAAGATCGAACACAAAGAAAAATTGCTTCATCCTAACAGGACCCACGTCTGCTAATTTAAAAAAAATCTTCAGTAGTATGTTGATAGTGTCTTTTAATAGGATAGGATTTTGTACATTCGTTATTCTTGTAATGACTTGTCAGTTGTCTGTCAGTCGCTTTCCGTTTTAATTGCCAGTGCTTTTTGTTTTGGTACTGTTCCATTTTGGGAAAGGCAAAGGCACTAATGCGCCATACAGCCAAGACTGTTTTTTTGGTATTCTGCTCTTAACATACAAAAAAGCATTTAATTTGATTTAGACTCTTTATTAAAAAAAACAACTTCAAAAGATTGTGGTATTACATCTATTTGCGAAGTTTTATTGAAAACGGTTAACGGAATGGAAAATGGTTGAAATCCAATAAACCTGATTTATCCCTTAATTTACTACCCTCAGAGGTGGATTATTTTCTTCAAATTCAAATAGCACCAATGCTGAGGTACCCTCTTTTCAACAAAAAGAAAATTAAAGTCGGTTCACAAATAGCGAACGGAGTAATCTCGTGTGTGTATGTTACATACAAAAAATACATTCGACCTGAGAACCACCTTCTTTTTTTGAAGTCGGTTAAAAATTAAGATACGCGTATTAGTAATTTCAATGGTGGTTTTAGTAAGGCAACGTTGATCGTTAGTGATTGAACGAATTAATTGCCTTCAGTGCCATTCTACTGACACTATTGATTGAGACTTAACTGATTACAAAACTAGAATGTAGCAGAATAACAAATATCATCATAATTGCAATATAATTTGCAATTAGTGTGCGTGGACTCTCATGAATGACCAATGGTTTAAAATAGCAGACTTGGGACGCAGGGTTACCGCTTTACTAACTAGAATTATAACAATCTTGGGGAGTAACCTCAAAAAAAAAATCAATGATAATGTTTCGAGTTCTTAGGTTTTCGCGATTGTTACACATAGGAAATGAAACTATTTTTCCGGATTTAAATCGCGTATATTTGTTTTTTTTTTCAAACAAACCGACGTTGACTGTGAAAAGTATCACAGTGGGATCTGTAAAGGGCCCGAATCGTCGGTTTGTTTGAAAAAACAAATATACGCGATTTAAATCCGGAGAAATGGTTTCATTTCCTATAATAATAATGTTGGTTATGGAAACGATAATAGCTATGAATGTATGTGAATATTAATGGGCACTTTGTAAGCCGTGGTTCTGTATTTAATGGATGATTATAATAATATTTATAAGCTGATATTGGGTGAGTTAATGTATTCTCCTAAAATAACATTTTTTTTTTCAGATTTTAAAGTCATTACGAGTACCATGGCCAAAACCGAGAAGTCATTTCCGAGAAACTTTACAGGTAAGAACTGACAGCATTTTGCACGTTGATTAGTCGCACACAATTTACCTGTATGTACTCGCGTTAATAACTCTACTTCGTGATAGGAAGCTTGAAGGTGGCGACCACACATAAATCGTGTGAGAGCGCCATTTTGTTTTGTTTTTCTTTCCTGTAGTTATAATAATCAAAATGGCGGACATGGGTAGGTAGCAATTAGAAGATTCAAAGCCCTCTTAAAAAGAAAATAGAAGACTTTATTTTTTTGATTGCTTTTCTTGTATAAACGCAGGGTTAGTGAAAAAGACTTATTCTATTTCGTAAATTTCGTTTATTTCTATTTTTTTGACGAAGGTAATAAAAATATAGTCTCGCGTTCCCGCCAAGTCTCACACCCCTAAAAAATCTGGCATCGCGACGCAAGCGCCGCACTATGACGTCATGTTTGGCAATCCGTCATCTTAAAAATAAACGGTGCCAATATGTGATAGCGTAATAGCTTCCGGTAGAAGGATAATACGATGAATTTATTTGGTTCTTGACACCTGACATTCCGACACGACGGAGCCTCTCTACGATCGCAAGTTTGTTGTGATGGTTTCTGATGCCAATTGCCTAACGGGTCTAAGACTATTTGAATGAGAAGTTGCGTAACAACGTAACACAATATCGCATTATTTATTAAACAATCAAATTTTATGACGAAACCAGCAGACTGTAAACGAAGGATAAAGACAAGGCGTAGACGCATACTATTGTTTGCAAATTTGTTGCTAAGCAACCGCGTATCGTCCACCTTCTTCCTGGCTACCGTATGTGACATTGTTATACCTGAATAAAACGATCACACATAGTTTTCAAAAGTGGAAATGATCCACTAATCGTCGTTTTTACATTTTTTTATTTAAGAACATAATTCATTGATAGGTCGTGTTTGATACTTAGTTGAGCTAAAAATGGAAAGTAAACACGTTACAATAAGGCGTTACTCTGAAAATTTGCTCGATGTTAGTCACAGCTGGCAAAGGGATGGGCGACATAATATTTCATTGGAAATGTAATATGATCTCAGTGATCAAATGAATATTCTCGTATCTAAATCTGTTATATTACTTTTACCCCAACCAACGTTTCCAGCTTTTCACAGGTTCCATGATCCGGCTGACTGTCGGTATAATATACGCTATTTAGATTCGAAAAGACTTCCATTTGAAGTTATTTTATTATAAACTATGGAATACTAGAGCTCTTACTGAGAGGCCAATTCGTATCAGGGGCTAATCTCGAACTCCGTCCGACATCCGTCCGAAACAATTATTGTCAAATAAGTAATATTCGACAAAATTAAAAGACAAGTAACCAGTATGAAGCTTCATTCGCATCACGCGTCTTTTCATTTGGTCAAGTATTGCTTATTTGGCAGTAATTGTTTCGGACGGTCGGACGGAGATCGAGAGTAGACCCCCTATTCCGAATCCAAGAAATTACGGTCCGAAACGTCTCAGGGATCATTTTACATTTTGTCGGAACGAATACGAAACATATACAGAGCGCAATTATGCGTTTAGGGTGCTGGTTTAATTACAGGCACACGGGCCTCGGCGACAGAGCACCTGAAATCTTTGCGATTAAAAGCCCTAAATGGCACTGCAACTGCTATGGACAGGCGTGTCGCTTACCACCAGGCGCACGATATATTCGTCCCGTCCCTGGAAACCGTAAAAATAAGTAAATAAAAAATAGGGTAACAAACAACTCGAAAAATGTTTCTTAGAATTGTTCGTTTTCGTGAACCCTATTAAATGATGAAGCAAATGTGGTCATTTAACTGTAAGTGGCAGTGTAACCAACGCCTGTGAAATAAAGATTCATTTAAAAAAATCAAGACCCCGTTGATTAAAATTAACGATGTCACAATAAAAGCTTCGACACTCCAGTGTAAAACACTCTGTTTCTTATACATATTATATGCATAATAGCATTTAATAAATCCTGTGACTATAATTATTATTTTTGAGTTTATGCCGTCATAATTGCCTGGAAGATATTGGAAAAATGAAATGAAAAAAGACACGGTTAAATAAATATTTATAAACACGTTAGTAATGAGTGCAGCATACCTTACCGATCGTCGGCTTGCTGATATTGAATTTTTTTTTATGATAACAAGTGACGGGACGAACAAGTCGTGTGCCTGGTCGTAAGCGACGCGTCTGTCCATAACAGTTGCAGTGCCACTCGGAAATTTAAATCGCAAAGATCTGAGGCGTATTGCCACTGCGCCCGTCACCCTGAGTCATAAGTTGGCAAGACCTGTATGCCTGTAATCTCACCAGCACCCTTAACCTTTCAAAACCGGAAGACGGTAATGCTGACATTACTGCTTGACGGCAGAAATGGGCAAGATGGCAGTACTTCCCTTGACGAACCCTTTCACAAATAGTGTTACAAAAAACTGGTATTACATTTTAGTTCTTAGTATATATACTACAGAGCATACATCTATTTAAACATGTTCTAAATAATATTTGACGTTATAAAAACAGTTTTTCAAAAGCCATTTTTCAACTTTTTAACCGATTTCAAAAATAGGAGGACGTTCTCAATTCGACTGCATGTTTTTTTTTTGTAAGTATGTTATGCGATAACTCCGGTATTTGTGAACCAATTATCATGATTATTTTTGTTGGAAAGAGGGTACCTCCATAGTGGTCCCATTTAATTTTGAAGAATCATCCACCTTTAAGGGTGGCTGTTAACGCATGAAGATTCATTTTTATAAATAGCGCCTAAATTTTAGTATAATGAGCAATTATTTTAATGGTTGATTTTGCTCTTCTTTAATTCAAGGCGTTTTTCTCTCTCAATATACTTTAAGTAGTGAGAACCGATTTTTATTATCTCATGTGTCAAGTACCGTATAGTGGCGAACTAGAGGATGAATCCGGGTTTGCGCACTTTTTAGTAACCGATTTCAATAAAACTTGGTAATTATATGTAATTCCACGTACGTTTGAGGTCGGTTTTTTTAGTACTCTGTACTGAGATTATCTTCACATTATTATTTGATTAATCGGCAATGCTTTCAAATTATTCGGTATTTTATTGAATATTTTAATACCCTTGTTATTAAAACAAATAATACTTTGAAATAGTGCAGTCTAAGGACTATAGTCTACCTGCAGTCTATCCAGCAATGAGACCGAGCTGTTGTGTCATGTTTTGTTTCTGTATTTTGTTTGCTGTATTGTGTTGTGTGGATAACTGTAGCCTAACACCTATATCATATGACTTGTAGAACCTTGATATTGACCGCCACGGTAAGGAAACCTTATACAGTTAATCCGTAACATTGACCGACTGCGTTGTTTTATTGGCTACCTCAGTGGCCCAGCGGTTAGAACTGTGATCTTGAGGAGGTCCCCGTTCTATACTCGGTAAGACGAATTTTTTACTAAATCAAACTTTTCATAATTCATCCTGCTTTGGATGTTTTGGGTAGGCTCCTATCGTTCATAGTACAGGGAATCAGCTCTGGTTGTCCTGCACTATTATTATTATGTGACATTACACACTGCCTACCCGATTAATTTGTTGAACAATTTGTTGTCTCACTGTCCCTAAACTTATAAACCCGTCGACAAAGTATGTGTAAACAGCGTGTCAATTGCGCCGTGATTGTCAGCCGAATTCACTTGCGTTGGCAGTCGACTCGGTGTAAACAGCGAGTTGACTGCGCCGCGATCGTCAGCCGAGTTCGCTTGCCGAAGAGGTGGCAGTCGACTCAAAGTAAATAGCGTGTCAATTGTGCAGCGATTGTCTGCCGAATTTATTTGCCAAAGAGGCGGTAGTCGACTCAGAGTAAATAGCGGGTCTACAACGCCGCCGGCCTTCGTAGCCGAATTCGCTTAACGAGGAGGCAGCAGTCGACTCGGAGTAAACAGCGCGCCGATCGCAATTTTTTTTTAATAATTAAGTGACGGGACGAACAAGTCGTGCCCCTGATGGCAAGCGCTTCCTTTAACAAGGCCGAATAATCTGCCGAAGGCGGCAGTCCACCCTGTGTAAACACGCTATAATTGTACCAATCTTCATTTCGTATCAATCCTAAAATGATACGAAATCAAGATTAGGATTATACTATATACATTTCACTAAAATGTGTGTACTATGGTCATTTATATATATTACAATTGACTTACAATTATATGGACGTCGGGTCCGCGCTAAAAAGTGTCCGAACTTATAGGGTGTTAAAATCGTATACAGAGCGTCATTCACGCTTTAGTCTTCGTTTGTTCGACTGACAGCGAAGCAAGCAAAATTAGACAGTACTGCGATGACATTACAATTTAAATTCAACGTTTTAGCTTTTTCATATTCCTTTAGATGTCACTACGTTTAAATAGGTTGACTTGGGACATTTTTTTCGTGGTTTTTGTATTAGACCCGTCGTCCATTATTTTGTAAGTCAATGTATATTACATTATTATTTAGCTCATGTTAGTAAATAGACACACCTTTTATATGGTTGTATGGCCAATGTTTGGCCGGGCACACTGAAACCACTAATTTTGTTGCTATCAACTTCTAGACAACCTGTGCTTCCACAAATAAATGAGTTATTTTTGTATTACGAACTACGCGATGTGTTCTCGTCGATCTATCTAATCTAGTCTCTTTCGCATACAACGTAGTAGTAGGTACCTAGGCCGTCGGAATACAAGTCATTTTTCAAAGTTTATATCTGAATAATTTAAAACGTATTTACATTACGCTTCAGTAATAATGTAATTGACAGACTTTCACTGAAGAAAGTAAGTGTGTGGTTCAAGATTGACAGCAGTGGTACGGTCACCTAAATCCTTAACGACTTTTTTTTGCCAAATATGATATTAATTGAAACCGAACGGAGTGTGCAAAACAACTATACGTATCATTGAATAATACAATTATATGGACGTCGGGTCCGCGCTAAAAAGTGTCCGCACTTGTAAGGCGCTAAAATCGTATACAGAGCG